GCAATCTACCTGAACATAACCTTTCCGAAACCTTTTTTTCCCCTGGAACAAAAACACGAAATCCCGAAAAAAACGAGTCGAAACCACCCCTGCTCGTGAACCCGCTGGGTAAACCCTAAACCCACAGCACAGGATTGCGAACCCCTGCAGAAGGCCACAGTCAAGGACTCTGGGCCAAACCAAGTCGAAGAACAACCAGGGTTTAGGGTTTAGGGTTTAGGGTTTAGAGTTTAGAGTTTCGGGTTTAGGGTTTAGGGTTTAGGGGTTTAGGGTTTAGGGTTTAGGGTTTAGAGGACTCTTGAATCTAGACCCTGGCTCCTAAATCTGCCCTCATCTGCATGGCTCTGGAATTTCGGCTTTAGGGCCTAAGATCGGTCGGAAAGCCATTCCCCGAACCTTCATGCCTTAATCTGGGTGTTGCTGACTACTTTGGGGTCCAACTGCTCAGGGCTGTTTCATGCCTAGGACTTGGGCGGTAAGGTTGGTGGAGAAATCTTAGGGCTTGAGTTCCGGGTTATGGTTTTTGGCTCAGCCCAGCCACTTGGGCTCGCCGGATCGGAAGGGGGCGGTGGGGAAGTTGGCTTGTTGTGGGCAGAGCTTGTCAGGCAGCCTTTGCACTCAAACCGAAGCCCTAGAATTGCACTGCATCCGGCTTTCTTGGAAGCCAGCATGGATTGGCGCCTTTGGGGTTTAGAGTTTAGGCTCTGGGTTTAGTTGAGGGCTTTGGGGTTTGTAGTCTGTAGCCCAGGGTTCGACACTGAAGGTCAAGCTTTGGACAGTGAGCTTTCGACAGTGTAGTCTCGAGGCCTACGCTCCTCTGCAGCAAACCCGAAACCCACGAATGCCTGTTCCCCATATCTTCAAACCTTACACATCAAATCCCCAAGTCCGAACCGACTTCCCGAGATCTCGGAATCCCGAAGCCGGGCACTCTGCAGGAGGGTGCTCCCATTGCGGTGATTGGTGCTGGAACTGGCCTAGGCCAGCCCTAAACATGGAGCACATTGAAGGCAAATCACCACCGACCCTATGCCATTTTCTGATGATGGTTGTGAGGATGCTGACAATACCAGCAGCAGCAGCAGCAGCAGCAGCAGCAGCAGCAGCAGCAGCAGCAGCAGCAGCAGCAGCAGCAGCAGCACCAGCTGTTCATGAGGGTTCTGATTGTGAGGAGGACGATGCCAGTGATTTCGCGTGATGACGTTCATCATCAAGGTCATCTTGTCTTGGTCGGTGATGATGATGATGGTGATGATGATGATGACGATGACGAGGAGCATGGGCCGAATTCTAGAGTGGCTCATGTTGCTGGCCGTTATGCTGCTTACACGGCTGCTGATTGCAAGGATGGTGGTGGTTGCTACATTGGCGACGGCACTATAGCATGCGTCTGACGTTGATCTTGAAACCTTCGAGCTCTTGTGCTGAACATGCTGAGCGATTTAGGGGTTAGGATCTGATTCAGAGTGTGACTCTGGCTGGATTGCTGTGGCCATGAACGAGTGGCCCTTACCCGTCACACTAGCACCTGTAGACCTATAAATAAACCATTTGAAAATACCACAAAAACGTCTTCTAATTGTTACGGTCCCTTTCCCACCGCAATCGTGGTCTTGTTTAGGCGTCCTTATAGTAAGGATCTTGTTCTTCGTTTGGGTACTTGTTGCTTCGTGCTCCCCGGAATGTCGGGTTTCTCCTGAGCCGTCTACTCCTGCAGCACGCGATGCGTCGTGCACTGAGACGCGCACGTCCAAGTCAGAGAGTCTCTCGCTCCCTTGTGTTTGTCAGCCATAGATAGGGTGCCAAGCAGGAACCAGGGATCAGGCAGGAAGTTTAACTATATAATATTAATATAGAGTATAATATATATATATATCTATGTAATAAATATAAAGATAATCTATATATATATATATATATACATATGTATAGATGTGGCTGCGACCTCGGATCTCTGCGGTACTTCTGCAACAGGAAGGCGTCTCAAGACCCTCACCCTGGCCGGAACCATGGGCAAGTCTCCCAAGAGTTAAAACCGAAAGCTCAAACGATCAAAATTCGGCCGAGTCTGAAGACAAGCCTCTAAACGCAAGCTTTAGACTCGTCATCCATAGTCGAAAAAGCCGATGCCTTTCGGACTGCTGGCCGCGAGGTGAGGCCTTTCTGACTGTGGGTGCAGAAGGTGACTACGAGGCCCCGCAGGGCCTTTAGGGGAGATGGGCAGGAAATTTTAGCGAAACTTCGGACGCTCTCAGCCAGAAAATCAAAAGATTTCGCTTCCGATTTCATTATCGGATGTCTGCCCTATAAACTCCCAAAGCCTTAACCCTATACTCTTAAAACCTCAACCCTAAACTCCTAAAGCTCCCAAGCGCTAAACCCTGTGAGGGCTCACGCACAACTCGTTCCGCCTTGGAGGGAGTTCTGGTATTCGGGCGAAGGCTACTGAACCATGAGTCTTAGTTCGCATAAGGGTATACAAGGGTTACTATCAGGTTACTATTACGGGCTCGTCGCTGTATGATTCAGGGCGACGATAAGATTAGCACAGGTGTTGGCCATTGCAGTTTCCGGGCGCTTCGGGCCTTGTTGCACTGGCCTTGTTATTTGTTGGAGCCGTCAGGTTGGGGTGTACTAAAGTGTACTATAGGGGGCTTGAATGATTATAAGCAAGACTATAGATTAAGGCATAATTTATCCCAAAACTCTGCGTATTCTAACTTCTTCTACGAAAGGCAGGCTTTAGACGCAGGGCTACTTGTGAGGGTCTGAGCCTGGAGCTGTGGTCTTGCGACGCTCAATGCCCGGAGGCATGAACTCCAAAAGCCCAATTGTGTCTGACTTCAGCTTGTTATCCCCGAATCCAACTTCTGATGCCCCTTGGCATTTCGCATTCTCTGGAAACTTTACCTGCCGAGACACCAAAGACAGCTGTACAGCGCACCTTCCTTGTTAAGGTCTGGCCTTCTGAGGGAGGGCACGCCGAGTACGCACCCCGCCAGGCCGCAGAGCTCCAGACGAGAAAAAACGTGGGGAGAAGAGAAAGAACATCACTTTGGGGTTTACAGGTTTATAAGATTCAGGCACCGGCAAGAGCAGCAGCAGCGGCAGAATTGGCCGTAGAGGTAACATAAACGTAGCAGTGGCGGTGTTGCAGCCAATGCCTGACTTTAGGTGGAGGCAAGGGTTGGGTGGGAGAGTTAGGGTGGGGGTTCAGGTTCATGATGCCAGAAAGAGGAATTCAGACGGCCGATCGTCAGCTACAGCTTTCCCGATTCTGCATGTGCCTTGAGACAAAGTCTCTTCCGCTCGGATGTTATTACTTTTTGTCGTCTGACAGATTGTTGAACCCATGTGTGAACAAGGGCCCAACATCACGAAGAGACCAGGAAGGCAGCAACTCTTTGGAGTCCGAGCTCTTGCAGTACCTGCGCCTGGGCACAACGCTTTTGGCGGTGGGGATTTTAATTTGCAGTCCTTGGAAGGCTATGAAGGTTATTGCGGGCTTTGTGTTGGACTTGGTGCTGGGAACCGTGCCATCGATGTTTGACTTCTTGCGGACTTTCAGGATGCAGAGGGCAGGACCCGGGCTTAATGAGAGGAGGTTTTGGGGTTTAGGGTGTAGGGTTTAGGGTTTAGGGTTTAGGGTTCAGGCTTAGGATCTTTGGTGTTGTTTTCGGTTTTGAGTGTTTCTCAGTTGCGCCCAGCCCATCTTCTGTGAGTCCCTCGGTAATTCAGCTCAAGAGCTCCCGAGGCTCATCAAGTACAGCGAAAAAGTCCGGGTCCCAAGTTCTAGAAGAAGGGCGCGAGGTGGGGGGTTCCGAAAATAGGGGCCCCTAATTAGTAGGATCCTTAGTATTCAGGACCCCACAATAGGGTACCCTTATGTTCGGAAACTCCCAGGTGTGAAGGGATGGAGTAAACGAGACTAGGGCTTCGGGCTGAGGGGTTTAACAAGGATTTGAGAACAAGGCCACTGCTTTCTGCGATTGGGATATACCGAACTACCGAATGAGACGCAAGATCTCCCAGCCAAGGTTTCTCGACACCCCCGGAGGAGTCTGCAACTATAGCAGTAGCGCTCTAGTAAAACCAGACGAGCAATATTAGCAACACTAACTCATGGAGCCTTAAGGACGTCAAGTCAAAGAAGGGAACTCCCGTTGGAGCTGAGACCAGAAGTCCCCAACCCGACAATCCTAGACCGAGGAAGAGTTTCCGAAACTGCCAGGTGACCTTTCCCAAGATACGTGGAGTTCGAGAAAATCAGGAACCTAAACAGGGACCGCTTAAGAAGGATCCTTCTGACAAAATTCCATACGAAGGAGCCAGCCCCTATGCGAAGATTCCCTCCATGCACGCAGCGTATTGGGAAGATCTGGAGATGTCCATTTAAGAAGAAGCTCCCAGAAGCACAAGCGACTTCTGCCTCACTCTCTGCCCGAAGCCCGGATGCTGCTATAAACTCAAAATCTGACGCCCCAAACTTCCAAATAAACCTCAACCCCTACACCCTGAAATCCTAAACCATTAAACCCTACATCCTAACAATGCAACCCTGAAGCTTTAGCCCCTGAAAGCCAGCTCTAGACCCCGCATGAAGCCTCAAACCCTACTGTACGCCCTAACTGGCACTTTTTAAATGGGAATCGGGGAAAAAAGTTCAAAACTTTAAAACGGGAATCGGGGTTTCGAGAGGCGCGAGTGAGCGTGGAGCGCGTGGCAGCGGGTCGAGGCGGGAGCCTGTGAGGGTGCTCCACCCCTGACTCTTCCTTACGGTGAATAGGCGTGTGTGTGTGTGTGTGTGGGGGCAATATACATAGATGTATATATGCATATGTACGTGTTATACATATATGTATCTGCTATACATACAGCACATATATACTTTGGCAGACAAGCGCTTACAATCATGAATATGATTATCAGCGTGAGCACGTACTTACATTGCCAGTTGTTCCGCTGCGGCTTTGCGTTTCTTTTCTCATTACTGTGAGCATAACTAGTAGACGAGTTCTTATAACCTTGTTGCTATCCTTACTGGGATTATGATACAGCGCGAGATGTTGCTCTGCTGATACGTATTGCAACACGACCATGGCTGTTGTTGTTGTGGTGGTGGTGGTGGAGGTGGTCGTGATGGTGCTGCTGCGGTGGTGGTGAGTTGTTCACAATGTGTTCATCCTTTTGGTGATAGTGGGATGGGATCGACCTTCGCTTGGAGGTCCAAGCTAGCTTCGAGGTTTAACGCTGGTGTAGAAACGAAGTTCGAAGTTCCTTCGAAAACTCTGAACAGGCATTGCGAACATTTATGAGTTCTTGGCTTGGAAGTATCCGGAGAAGGCCGCGTTGCCACACGTCCCGGCTTGTTGGGGAGGGTCGGAGCAGCGTGCCCCTCTCAGCCTTGAGGCATCATCCTTGACAAGACCTCTCTCTCTCTCTCTGTGTCTCTCTGTTTCTTCCTCTATATATATATATATATATGTATTTATATAGCATGTGTGTGTAGTATGTATATGTGCACATTTTCATATTAATTATACAGGTGATACTGCATGCATATATTGTATATATGTATACACAAAAAATACTCATTCATTCATTCGATCGCTCATTCATTCAATGTACTCATATATCCATCCCTTCGACATTCGGCCCTGAGCTTTCTGTAAGTCTGGGTTGCTTCCCTACCGGCTGAGACAGGTGGGCTTGCAACTTGGGATTTGAGACACGGTTCATTGGCAACGACTTTTGAGGTTGATCTGTCTGTCGGCTTGGGGCAGACATGTGCCACGCTGTTGGGTTCTTCCGTGTGTTGGCTTTGCTCTAGCACATCTCCGTTCTGGGTCATGTCGTGTGACACTGTTGGAGAAGTCGGCTCTTCTTGGCAAGAGAAAGTTGAAGCTTCTGCTGTAAACCCTAAACCCTAAACCCTAAACCCTAAACCCTAAGTAAGACGTTCTACTGAGTCAGCCATTGGCTAGCATTGTTGGAGAGGCCTCCAGCCTCCATTAGCCATGACGCCACTGAGCTCCGATTTGTCCCCCGCCCTCTGCCCTCGGCTAAGACCCGACCCTAGTTGTCCGAGGGAAGATTCATCCCTTCATGGTCTCCAGTTTAAAATATGACAACTATATAGTGCTTTGGGACATTTTATATTTTCTCTTATTGGGCTGAAGAGGATCTTACCTACTAATAATATTTTTCCAAAGGCTTTCAAAGCACAGCCTAGAGAAAGGTCATACCAAAACCCAACACCCTAGTCTCGTCAAGGCCTCTCTGTCAGGTGCTCTCGCCTAAAGGCGACTGTGTTCTCGCACAATCTGGGCGTTGGGTGTATTAGCACAAGTCTAATACGAACGTAACCCCCAACTGCTCGCAAGGTCATAAGCAGCTTTATCAGAGTAGTATTTTTCTTACTATTACTACTACGGTTTCTAATTAGTTCTAGTGTTGTTAATATGATTATTGTTATTACTCTTGTTATCATGATTCTTCCCAGTCTTAATATTATTCGTCTTCTTATTGTTGTTGTTTTGCGCAGGCTTTCCGAGGAAAGCCGCAGGACACGAAGTTTCCGAGCCCCGAGCCTCAAGCGATGGGCAGGTAAACAAGGCTGTGCACCGCAGCTTCATCGGGCCAATCGAAGGGCCCAGGTGCAGTGAGGGAAGGGAATCTGCACCTCACAGGGTTTAGGGTTTAGGGTCTGTCAGGGTTTATGGTAGCTTCTGTTTCGCTGCGTGTGATGGGCTCAGCTTCGGCAACGTTCTTCTAGGTGGGGGCGCTCAATGTGTATGTTCCTTTGCGGGTATCGGCGGATCTTGGTCACTTCTAACATGTTTTTGGGAGGCTTTGAAGGGCCAACCCAGTCGGCGTTGTTCCACATTGCTCCGCCTGTGCCAGGACCTTTGATCCGGCTGCGATCACCAAAGCTGCTACGAGTGGTCCCGGCCTTTGCCAAGCTCGAGGGCTTTGATTTAAAAGGGTTTGGAGGGGAAATGTGGGATCGAGATTGAGTTTTCTGTGTTTGCTAGCTTCAGGGGCTTTAGGGCTGACCCATTAAAGAGCCTTCTGCCGGAGACCCCCTCTGCGCCCGTAGTCTGCAGTCCATGATCCCTCCCAACTCTGGATCCAGACCCCAGAGCCAGATCAGAGGCGTTGGCCTCGGTTTTGTGGACCCTTCTCCGAGGCATCTGCAAGTTGAGCAAGCAGGCTGTGGATATTTGGGCTGGAGCCTACGGAAGCGAGGCGTGGCGGGCATAGCTGGCATAGGGTTCTACACGGGTTCCATGCTTTAGGGGACGTCTTTCGGGGGGCTTAGTGGGGTACGAGAGGAGCCAATTGTAGTGTTCAGTAGAGCTTCCAACAAAAACATACAATTTCCACTTCCCATGCTCAGGAAGTCAGGAGGGAAAGCTGGCTAAGGATTCAGCGAATGTTGAGCTATTCAAGAATCGCTGCCTTGCTTCGACTGCCCCTGCGGTGTGTCTCTGCCTGGTACGGGCTTTCCACCGCGCCCGAAGTGGGCTTGGAATGGTGGGTTCTGAGCTGAGGTTGAGGTTTTGGTTCAGAGCCCACAAGGCCCGAAGTCAGACCATCACTTTCCAGCCACCGAAAGACATCTCGTTAGTCTTCGTGCCAGTAACCCTGCAACTGCCACTCCTGCAGCCGTCGTGAAGGCCGGCGTGGTCGCCCTGACCTACATGCCTTTTGGGGGCCCGGGCCGCAGCTTGGGGTCTCCTGATACCCTGCAACTTCTGAAAGCCTCAGAGGACATAGACCCCTAAACCCAGCGGTTTAGGGTTTAGGGTTTAGGGTCCGGCTACACCAAGATCCGACCCAGGAACTGCTAGGAGCTGAGTGGTAGATGCAATGAGCATTGCACTTTTCTGCACCTGCGAGCCGGATAAAGCTCCTAACTCGTCGCTCCTCCCTTAGGGCGCAGATGCCATGTACTCGTGATTCAAGTTGCATGTATGCTTTGCATCCCAAACCTGATCATGGCATGGCTGCCATGAGGACTCTACCTCACGGGCGGCGTCACATCCAAGATGAAGGACGGCAGGGGTTCCAAAATAGGGATCTCTGAATATCCTGGGGCCAGTACTGGGCACTGCATTGGTTCCCCCTTTTCTGAAGGACTTTGTATGGTTAGGTTTTGGGATGCCAGGGTCGGTGCCGAAATCGGTAAAAGAGGATTTAATATTGAAGTCCTAGGGCTGCGTCTACGTTTTTCGTTGGTACTTCGCAGCTCCTTTGAGTCGACTTGAGTCAGCAGCTATCAGGCACAGTCTTTCCACTTCGTCCAGCCTTATCACTCCAAGCATCCGATTCATAATGGGAGACTGTGCCCGCGAGGCGGACAACCTTCCTGTCTGGACAGCGCCAGGTCGATGGAACAGGGGTTTGCAAATTATCAACTTGACCTGCCAGCCGGGGCGACCACTGACCACTGTCACCCATGCTAGTCACATGCTTTTGCTCCAGTGCGGGCTGGCAGCTCGTACCTGCCGAATGCGTAGGTCCACTCGGGCTGGACCCTCCATCTCCTTTCTGTCCGGTGCGGGACCGCCCTCACTGGGAACCACCCTCGACCGGAGCTTCTGATCATGCGTTTCGTCTGCATAATCGAAGAACCTGCAGCGGCCTAGAGCGGGCTGTGCGCCCTTACTGGGAACGACCAGAGTCCTGTCATCTACTCGCACTGCGCGGACCTTAATGTCGTCACATCTGTCGCCTTGAAGAATCAGTCTGACGAGCTGACTGTTGGCGGGGCTTTCCTGCTTTCTTTGCTCTCCGAAGATCGCCTGCGCCTTACACCATCATTATAACAAGTTCCTGGAGTCGTGACAGAATGACGAACGAGCTTGCTCCAGGACTGGCTCAGTGGAAAGACCACAGGGCACAGCACGTTTCTGGAGGCTGCCGTGATTTCCGGGGCCCAGGACTTTAGAAGGTCGCCGAAAATGCAGATCTACGATGTTCGTGGTTGGTTTTGACCCAGTCCAAAGCTTGCTTGCAACATACTATAAATATATAAGAAAAGCAATCCTTAAGAAAGAATATAATAGGCGGCATTAGTACAACTCAGAACCCACGGGATTCTGGGGATCTCAGGTGTTTCAGGGCTGGCGATGAAGTCTCGATCGGGGTGGGGTGGACCTGGAAGGGTCCACACTTGCAAACTGCACGGCATCCTCGGCCAGTCGCAGCTTCCTTAGAAAGAGCGAGAGTGAGAGTGAGAGTGAGAGGAGGAAGGAAAGACTGTACTTACACACATCCACTTGCTCCAGTACTGTTTTCTCAGTATCCGTCTATGTATTCACAACATCCCTGCAAACCTAGGACGTGAAGATGACCTTGAACTCCAAGCGTTCATGGTCATCTAACAGTGGCAAACGAGTGACAGGTATCGCATGGCTTCTCCCTATATTGGATGCATGATTGTGCGGACGCCCTGCATGGGTTCGCAATACTTGCCAATGCAACGAAGACTCCCACACATGCGATGTCCGACACATGCACAGGAGGAGCCTCATGCCTGTGTCGAGGGGTCTCAGCCTGTCTTCGCACGCAAGAACCCAAGACCGCGAACTTTGCCCAGAGGCCTTCCTGGACAAGGGCCGCGTCACGTGAGCGGACTCAGAGGGGAGCCATGGGAACCAGAGGAATCGAGACCAGCGAAGGCTTCTTGAGAGTTTGCAGGCTGAAGCCCTAACTAGGTCGTCTTATTAGGGGTTCCCCTTAAAGGGTACCCCTTCTGAA